ATACCTTGACGCGGTTGTACTTCCCCCGCGTCGATAATCGATGCGCGCGCCGCGTCCCACGATAAAATCGGTATTAATGCGTTCACGAGTCTCCTCTTGTTTTTAGAAACTCTTGAGGACATTTATCGTATCTTCGCTTCTAAGCATTCGTTGAGATACAAAAATCAATTCAGTTTACAGAAATTCTTCGCAAGAAAAGAAATTTGAAAAGATTTTTCGAGCTAATCAGCTAACGTTCAATGGAACACATCAAAGGAACAAAATATTTAAAGAAAATTTTACTTCCTTCAAATATTAAGTTATTTTAAAACCGTTTTTTTTCATAGAGCTGAATCACCGATCGAAAGAGTCTTGAATGGACATTTATTGTATCTTTGCTTCTAAGCATTCCTTGAGATACAATGAAAATCAATTCAGTTTACAGAAATTCTTCGCAAGAAAAGAAATTTGAAAAGATTTTTCGAGCTAATCAGCTAACGTTCAATGGAACACATCAAAGGAACAAAATATTTAAAGAAAATTTTACTTCCTTTAAATATTAAGTTATTTTAAAACCGTTTTTTTTTCATAGAGCTGAATCACCGATCGAAAGAGTCTTGAATGGACATTTATTGTATCTTTGCTTCTAAGCATTCGTTGAGATACAATGAAAATCAATTCAGGTTACAGAAATTCTTTTCTTCGCAAGAAAAGAATTTGAAAAGATTTTTCAAGCCAATCAATGTTGAATGGAACATGTAAAGGAACAAAATATTTAGAAAATTTTATTTCCTGTAAGTTTAAGTTACTTTAAAACCGGTTTTTCTTATAGAGCTAAATCGCCGACCGAAAGAGTCTTTCTATAATATATTGTTGAAAACAACTTGACAATCTCATAAAGAAACTGAAATATGGTCATAAATTATCTTCATTCTTTTTACCTTTCTTTTCAGTACTTCACAATGACTCCAAGATGACTATTTGTGCAGAATTAACAGCAACACTACGTTCGAAAATACTATCCGAGTATTAGATACTTCAAAATGATACTTCTAAATGGAATATCTTAAGATCGCAAATATCAATAGACAACTGCGTAACTAAAACTTTAACGGTTTAAGCTAGATCTTTATAGTGCTTAATAATTTTCGGTATGAATTTATATACGCAATACACACACACACACACACACACACACACACACACACACACACACATACTGCAAACTGTTCGCTGAAATCATTTTCAGTCTTGAAATGTCATCAATCATAAGCCGAACTAGGATAGTAATACCACAAATTAAATTGACAAGCAATCTCTTTGACAAAATATCTCTTTTTCCTCTTTCTCCTTTTGATTTTTTCTAGATTTGCAAAATATAATATATTTGACGAATAGTAAAAATATCTCACGCGTTCAGAAGAGAATATATTCGCGTGCTTTATATTCAGAAACTTTGAGTTTCGTATCTCGATCGACCTTATTATCGGTGGCTTATCAGCATCGGCAGTGAGGGAAGAAGAGAAATGTATGGATTTACGAAAGATCGCGGGGGTATAACGCGATGTGGCTCGAAAATCGATAGCGGGCAGTGCAATTCACTTAATGGCATCCCCTAAGCAGCCGACCCACTGGACGTGATAAACCGCGAAGGTTGCTAGACTATTTATTGTTAGATACATCGTGTGTTGTGTGCGTGTAGAGATGGAGCGCGGGAAATGCCATTTCAACGGACGATATCCGATACTTAACGAACGAAATGTAATAAACCTTGCGCTTTTATGTTAATCGCAAACGAAAAGAAACGTGAAACTTATGTCTTAAGTTGTCTATCAGATTGCTTTCTCTTTCTTTCTTTAGCTAAATCAACAGTTCGCTGTATCGTAATTGTTGCATTATTTAACTTTATCTGCTACTTGAAATTTGCGAGCGAGTTTGTAATTTCGTAATGCTTAAATTGTATCAATAAAGAAACAGCCATATATCGATATTATATTTTTAAAAATTAGATTTAAATCAAATTAATATTAGTGAAAATTCATCTTTAATTTTTAGAATGTAGAATTTTTTTAACTCTCTGTATAAATTTTTTGGAGTAGAATCTCACTCTAAAGAGAGGAAATTGAGTTTCTTAAAAAAGAGCTCAATTTTCAATTTTTAAGTAAGATTTACTCTAAAAATTTTACAAAGTAAGGAAGAAATTTTAAAATAAGCATATTACTAGACTATACGATAATACTGCATGATAATACAGCGATAATTAAAATCCTCAGGAACACTTGCATACACAATTAAGCTGTTTAAACGATCTTCACATAAAATATATATTAAATCAGCAAAGAGAAGAATATTTCGTACGTTAAATACGCGAATAATCGACCCATATTCATGCACATCAAATACTCGCGAAGCGATTTCGGATTTATCGTACATTACATCGAGAAAAAAAGAGGGAGAGTTTTCTACGTATAGACCGTTTGATAAAATAAATACTCTGCGCGGATCAGAGTTTCTCGACTGACTGTCAAAGTACCTGACCAGCCGCGCCCTTATTCGAGTTACGTTCATTGCCACACAAAAACCGCGTTTTGCCGTCGCAGCGGCGTTTAAATATCCAGGCGATATCTTGTCCAGCGTTTCGCGCTCGGCGGGTCAAAGGCGATGCAGCGAAGCTGATTCTCTCTCTCTCTCTCTCTCTCTCTCTCTCTCTCTCTCTCTCTCTCTCTCTCTCTCTCTCTCTCGCTCTTTCTCTCTCTACCACGAATCTCGTCGAGTTAAATTCCACCAAATCACTCGTCGCCGTGAAGCTAACTTTACCTTGTCTGTATTGCGAAATTAAAACAAGTTAGTTCGTAGAATCGATTTCTCTTTATTGGCAAGGCGAAGGATGGATAGACGGGTAACATTTCAGCAACACTGAATATCTTCGACACTAGAAAGTGTCGAAACTGGAAAACTTCTAATGATCGTTTATAATTATATTCGTATTTGTTTCAACATGCTATACTTCAAAATTCTTTTTACGCTATCTTGGAGCAGTTAAAAAGCAAAAAATTCTGATGTACTTGATTTTATGACATTGCCACTATATACATTTTCAATGGGGAGTTTAATAGTAAGTTACCCCCCCTCCCCCCAACTTTAAATCTTAATTCCTGCTAAGCTGCTTGAGCACAAAAATTTAGACCACAGCAAAAAATTAGCAAACAGCACTAAATTTTTTATCTATTCCAATTTTAATTTGCGATGGTGGAAGGTTAATGGGGTTTATCAAATTTATGAAAAGGTCTCGAAAAATAAGAAAAGTATTTTAATAACTATCTACGCTCAATATATCTCTTTTAAAGCATCGAAGGATCGAAGCGTTGAAAATACATTCTATTCATTCGCGTGATCATCGATATTTATATTATCGACGATATGTTTTTTTTTTTGCCTTTGTCGGACACCACATACTATGTGAAAACGTCGGCTGTCGTTCTCTCGTTGATACGAATACTTGGGCAGACATTATTTCCGGGATTACGTTGTTCATCGGCGAATACGACCAGCCGATCTCGTCAGATTGCGGATCGCGATGCAAACCTGGTATCGAGAGTGCAATGCATATCGATCGTACGCGTTTGGCATTGATTCACGACGAGATCATGAAGTCCGCAACGCGAATAGCGAAGACTTTTATACCAACAGCGAGTCTAATTTTGAATAAATAATAACGGATTAATCATTTCAAAGTTAATTCCTAATACGGTTTTTACGTTGAAGATTAACTCTTAATACACACAAATGAATCATTTGTGAATGCACATTTCTTTTTTTTTTTTTTCAAAAAAAACTAGAAGCATCAAATAATTAAATTTATGTATAATTTTTTTAAATACACAACCTTCCTTATATATTTCCTAAAGATATTAAAGTACATGTAAGAATTACTTAATAATTTTTGTATAATTATTAAAGTGAGGGAAATCAATTCGGGACACGAATGACTTATAATCAGTGTATTCTCTAAATTCTTTCGAGTAGAATCTCACACTAAAAGTGAAATTTTATTCGTCAGAGTGATAATTTATTCTAAAAGTTTTAAAGAGTAATATGAAAAATCATCGTGTACACCAAGGATTAGTAAATAATAAGGTATTTCTATTCTATTGATAACTCCAAACAATTTTTATACTGTTACAGAACTTTAAAAAATCACAGAGTAATAAAATAACTCCATTGCGTTTGCTCAACGCTACAATTAAAAAAAGAATGCGTCTTTTGTAAATCAACGCACAAATGGACGTGTTAATTCTTACCGTCCGGAGCAAATACATTAGAGCCGATCTGGACATATTTATTGAAGTGTATCGAAATTTGATACCGAAATTTATCCAAGTTTTTCAATTTCAATCCCCGCGAGAAACTTTGAAGCGTGATACCAATTGTAAAGAGAAGAGAATCTCGAGGGGATTTTCGTCCGTGATATTGTCGCGATATTTCGTCGGTAAAGGAAAAAAAAAAAATATATATATATATATATAAATAAGCGCGAGTGCGAGTGCTTGAAGGAGGCCACGGCGGAATTCCCCGATCGCGTCGACGCTGTCGTGACGAGCGATCAGGTGGCAGCTTGGCTCGGCTCCTGAGTGATTGTTCACCGCTCGACGAATACGCGCGTCATCTCGTTATCGTATCGGTATCATTCGGCGAACGTTAGAAGTTTCCCCCGCGAACTATTCCTTACAATTACACGACTTGACAGAATTAAAAGAAAGGTTGAAAATTATCCCTCTATTTTTATCACGGCGAAAACACTGCCGTTTATAATACAATAAACCCATAATATCTCGCGGTTAATCGTTAGCGAGGATGTCCCCCCTGGCGCGCAAGCGAACGGGAGTAACGGAGAGCAAGAGGAGGAGGAGGAGGAGGGGGAGGAGAAGGGGGAGGGGGGCAACGCTCGGTGGCGGACGTGTGGACGGAGGTTGCTCAACTTGACATCGCTCTCGTCGTGACGTCATTGAAAATCACTTTACCTCAAGCACCGAAACGAAGTCGCTCCCGCTGCCCGTTGTCGTCGTCGTTCGCACGTAAGTCACAGACCGCGATGCGATGGTGAGGAGCGAGTGAACGTCAGCGAGAGATAAAGTTATCGAGTCAAAGAGAGAGACGGCCGCCGGTCCTCGCGCACGTAGGCCCCACCGCGGGTCTGGCAGTGGCACGTTGTCGTTCTTTGTTCTTCCTTCCTGCTCGCGCGCGCGAGACTCCTCTCGTGTTTCTCTCCCTGTGTATGCGCGCCTCTTCTCCTTTTCCGTCGCTCTTTCTTCGCGGGTTAGCCGCGCACGTTACGGCTAACGGAATTAATTCGGAGCACTCTAGTTTACACAATTCTCTCTCGTTGTACGTACATATATAGATATATGTATTTATATGTACAAATATATCTTTATTATTATCTTTATTATTTATATGTCACTAGAAAGGTACACGATGTACACTGTATATATCAACACGGACCAACGTCAGATACGTTCCCGTTAACAAGCGCTACCGCTACACGTGAACCATGCGGACACACGTACAGCGAGATGTATACACAGCGTATATATACACTTGGCCCTCCCCCGCGCGCGCGCGAGATTGTTGCACGTTGTACAATTTATTTGTACACGTACACACGTGTACACGGAGTTGTACCGTGTCGAATGAAAACTCTCGACGTACTCGCGCGCGAGAAACTGTCTAATCTCCGTTATAGGTTGCGCACACGCCAAATGTGATTCTGCTCAGCTTGGCTCGCGCGTTACGTCCGTACGCAAACGATATCCGAGCACGACTGAAGCGAAGCGAACGTATGGGAGCATTGCGAGCCGACAGGCCGACAGCCGACACCGGCCGAGCGTGTGGCCCACGACACGGAGATACCCGACCGAGCGTCGTACCGCTACGACACGAGTTCCGAGTCGTTTTCCCCTCCGTTCTGACCTCTCCTCCTCCTCCTCCTCCTCCCCCACTCTCTTACCAATCCTACCTATCGCACTACCCGCGCGCGTACGGGGCCATCTATACGCTTCGGTCTTCTCTTCTCTTCTCTTCTCACCGCTACCACTTTACTGCATACGTATATATATATATATATATATATAGATATATATATATATATACACACACATATATATATATATATATATATACAGAGCACACGTCTCTCCACCTCTTCCACCTTCTCGTCCTCGTCCTTCTCCTCCTTTTCCTCTCTCATCCTCTTTCTCTCCTCTTCCATCGGCTTTTAAAACCGTACGCGTCCTTCGGTATACGTGAGAAATATAACACTATTTTTCCTCGAAGCACGTTGCGACGAGTGGACGATTTGAAAGACATAATTCTTACTTCATTAGACTAATTTATGAATAAAAAAAAAACAGGGCTAATGAGAGAGTGTGGCGTAGTATGCAGAGAACCAAATTTTAAACAATGGCTGCGTCCAAACTACGGAGAAAACTGATCAATGAGAACTCAATGATTATTTAATATTTGATTGGTTCTTACGCTTGTTGTTAGATCTAGCGAAGCACTATAAAGGCAAGAACCAATCATATTAAAGAATGACTATGAGCACTCATTGATTAGTTTTCTCTATTGAACGCAGTCAAGTACATCTAGTACTCAGTTATAGTATTCGTAATATAAAGTAACGTTCGAACGTTTCGACTCACCTTGGAGTCTTCCTCAGCAATGAATAGTCCTCGAATTTTTACAAGTTCCCCCACTCTGCTATCAGTCAGTCACTTATGAATTGCAAAATCCGAAGTGGAATTTCCAATTCTTAATTGATTGGACATTAATAAATGATATTTTAACAGGGAATGAGAAACCTGTTGAACAATAACGTGTGGTTTCTTAAAAACAATTGAAAGTCCACATACAATGCCATTGTACAATTAAAAATGTATCAGTAAAACTTAAAATATTAACTGTTCAAAGTCTGACGTGTCTCTCTCTTTCTCTCTCTCTCTCTCTATCTTTTAGATTAATTTATATTAAAAATTGTACGCACACTTTCACAAATATGATTGTAAAATCATTTCTCCAACCTTTTTCGTCATCGTATGACGAATGCGTAGCATAAACTGTACAATAGTCAAAAGAGACCTATTTTAAAATGAAATAAGATGCGGTCTTTTTGTATAGTAGGTACTAGCCAGACCTTCGAATCCATCAACTCGATAGATCGCACTGATAGAAATCTTTTCATGATAATGTTTGCGTTGGAGGAGAGATTGACTGGTTCGAAGGTCATTGATATCTTTATTTTTCAGGAAATGTAAAAGCATTCGATTAACGTAAAGATACGATAGTAAATTCTATTATCATTTCATTTTATTATTCCAAATATTATTATAGTTTTATAGTTTGTCGACAGAAGAACTATAATTTTTTCTAGAAAGATATCGTGAATTATCTACATAAAAAAATATTACAGTAGAAATTAGTTATTGATATTTTAGAAATAAATCTCTTTTTATATACATGTAAATAAATAAATGTTTATATCTAAACTTAAATAATCCTATTCTCGACAAATAAAATTTATTGTTAAAATCAAAGCATTACTTTGTATGAGATTCATAAAATCGTAAATCATATTTACTTTGAGAATTTTGTTTATGATAATTGAGATACCAAATATACATTTTAGAAATGAAGTATGCCACAAATTACATAATGTAGAGTTATATTTTGGATATCAGAAAGAAATCTGAAGAAATATAGCGCATAAAATTGGAAGCACATTCGAAGATTCTTTTATTATCTTTCGAAAAGAATTTCGGAGATTAATAGAGGAAGAAAGAGAGAAGGAGAGAGAAGAGGGAGAAGGGAGAAAGCGTATCTAGTGTACTTTCGATCACCGCACGGTCGACGCTCCAACGATTCGGAGTTCCAGTATCCGATTGTTGCTTCGGAGTGGCGAGCATTCAAAGTGTATTCCGCATGTTTTGGAGGCTCAAAGAGGTTCCGTACATTTTCATGAAAATTACTTGCCGATGCCTCTGTAGCTACCTTACATATTGCACGAGCTCATCTTTGATATGTTCATGAGTACTATCTTTGTCAGCTGACTCGAAATTGTCGATCGATAAACGATATTAACGAGCAATAAAACGATTATATATCGTTAAGTTTTTTTTTCCAATAGCTTATTCTCCCACAAGACATTAAACATGCTAATTTTAACGTCAACGAAATTTAGAAAAAAATATCTTTGTTATTGTAGCAAACGGGAAAATGAATATTTGCCCTATATTGTTATTAAATGAATGATAGTATTAACAAGTTTATTAAACGGTAATATATTTTTAATGCACGAAGCAGATATTTAATTTTTCAACAAAAATTGCCTGCATCATATACTGAAAAAGCTATTCGCCAAAATGTGGATTATGATTTCCCTTTATTTAATTCTGAGCGAAATTTATTCTCTCTGATTTTTTTTCAGATAAATTCGATTCTGCCATATTATAAGACTAACAATACAAAAATAATACAAATACAAAATATATAAATAAAACATTTTGCATTGTAAATACAAATACATGTCAATGATTACTACTAGTTCGAAATCATACTACACATAATGTACATATATTATATCATATAATTATTGTATTAAAAAAATATATAATAATGTTTTACCACAAATAACAGGCGACACTTTTATTGCGAAATTTCAATAAGACTGAAATGGCCATTTGAAAATGACATACGTTTATCATTAGAGGGAAGAATTTCGGGCGAAAATATAACGGGTGGATAGGCTAGAGATGTATTTCACAATCGAGGGTAGGTGAAAAGGGTCGGGTTAAAATGAAACGTCGAGCAGTGCAGGGATGGTTTGGCGTTTCGCTTAATGGGCAAGACAGCGAACTATGTTACGCGATACGTATTGCGTTTGCGTAAAGGTTACACCCACGGATCAACGAAGACACCCACGTGACGCGACACGCGTACATACGTGGGTGTAAAAAATCGCGGGGGTGTACTTTGTTAACCAACACCTGTGCCGCCTACCGTTGAACTTTTTGGTGCGCGGGAAATGTCGTCGTTGCCGTTGTCGCATTATCGTTGCGCGCGCTACTCTTTTGATTAAAACTGAAAATGCACTCGCAACGGGATACGTTGTAAATTACATGTCGCGTCATCGTATACGTGTTTAAAAGCGTGCTTAATATCGTCATGATCATGGAGCATTAAGTAGAGAAGCTAACGTTCTGAAGATTTGAGATAACATAAAAAACAGATAGATAGATGCAGAGAGAGAGAGAGAGAGAGAGAGAGAGAAAGAGTAGCAATTTTTAAATTAAAAAATCTGTGCATGAATATTTTTCTAAATATTACTTTATGATAATAATTGTGTACTTTATAGTAATAATTATTAATATATAGAAAAAGAGAGTGGTACAACAGATATTTTTCTATGTATCTGTTCTGTTTTCATAAATACGAAGTCACTGTTGGTAAGCGTAATACATAAATGCGCTAATTTTCTATTGACCTTGCTTCATTATAGTGATTTACATCCTCGTTAGTATAATCATATTCGTATCTTGTACGAAAGATTTGCTTGATTATAGATGATTTTGTCATGATAGGTGTATCATTTCTCGCAATTACCCGATTCTCCGAATCGTTGGTAGATATACGGATATCGATTATCACATGGATTACAACCAACATGCCGAATTAATTTCGATACGCTTATTATTAAACCGCTATCTGCGGTACAATTTATTTGAAGCTTCGTGCTGTACAACATTAAACGATTCGTTTCATCTATATATATGAATTTTATATATATATATATATATATATATATATTAGTATTTCTAACTGTTACTTTTCAATTAAAATGATTCCTAGAATTCATACAAAATTGATTTGATTTTTCGAAGAAATTCGAAATGTCATCTACTCCTTTAGCATTCATTAGTTTTTAACATTAAATCGTTGCTAACCATTATAGTAAAATTCTCAAATTAAAATCCGCTTAAGATTAAATAAAATGCTACATCCATTTAGTTATAACTTTCTGATGACTTAAAAATATATTCGGATTTCCATGCGATTACTCATTACTTCAAAATTGAAATAAATGGTATTTTTATGCTGATTTTTAATACACGATTTCCAATGGTGTATTAACAAATGTATAATTTCCAATGGTGTTATAATATTCTGATATATAATTGTTAGAAAGATAGTATATAGAAAGATTATAAGATTGCAATTTATCGCGAGCCGTTTTATCTCTTAATCTATCTCTCAATACTTACATCTATATTTATATATCTGAAAAGCTAATATTATAAATATTTCTCTTAAAATATTGGATCGAGGAAAAAGTTTGTTCGTATTTTAAAAAATTTTT